AAGTCAGCCAAGTTCCTTTTTTTAGATAGCATTTTGATCTAAAAGGAACCTGGGCGAACCAACCCAACCTGCGAGTTGGCGTTAGGTTGTGATCTCTCGATGTGGCAATGTATCTCCAGATTTATGGACAAAGAAGACGAAAATGTTACCCGTTGCAGTGCAACGGGTAACATTTTCGTCTTCTTTACCCGTTGCAGTGCAACGGGTAAGTTTCATTCAAGATGTCGTGCGCTACGTGTGATCGGTATTATTGCAAAAAATCGGTTTTCCGATGCCGACCGCCAAAAATGGATTTCAGATTCGTAATCTACACCCCAAAAAACATATAATTAAAAAAAAAACACCCTTTTTTTGGATGTAGTTAATCTGCAATAATACCTAAATACAGAGCAGAAACACACCTGTGAAAAGGATTTCTCCATAGCATCAATGTAGGCAGCAGGTTCAGTAGCATTCTCAGGGATGAAGAGATCTTCCAAGAAAGCTGGAGACTTGATATAAAACAGGATCCCCATGATGCCCTGCAACAAGGCACAAAAAATGTTTAGATTGCACAAATAATATGCAGAAATGATCAGGTGATTTTTGGATTGAAAAGCTAGATGAACCTTCAAAAACATTTGCAACTATTTGTCATTTATAATATCTTATATATTTATAATCTGGAACTAAGTAATTCTAGAAAAAATTTCAACAACTAATTTCAATCCTTAAATTATACCAATAATACCATCAAACAGGATAATTAATATGGGACAGGAGGGGACAGGGTAAATCAGGGCGGTCGTCAAACCCGAATTGCCTCAACCATCCCTTATTACCCCATTTGACAATATTCATTGTAATTGTATCTTGGAACCAGCTTTTGTATGCCTGTGGACTACTGCAAGTTTTCCTTTTTGTATAGGCCTACTACTAGGCTACCTAGGCATAGTGGCAAACCACAGATTTTTAGAATCAGTTCATTTTTAATTTCCTTGTTTACCCAAGATTTAAATCCATTTTTTATGTATGATACTGCTGGTATCCAGGATACTTTACTGGTCTACTTATAGGACTCACAAATGAACTTGAGGGAGATTCTAAAAAACTCTCTGCTTTGCCAACCTAGGTACTACTGAGCTGAGTACTGTAGCTAATCATCATTTAGACTAATGTACAGCAAGTTTTCATTTTTCAATGCTAGTTTTTTTTTTTGGTCGGTAACACTCACCAGCTGTATTATTCCCCAAACGCTCAAAATTGTGCAACAGAGGGAGAGTTTTGGGCCGCAAAACTTCATTTTTATTAATAATGATTATTGTTCCTAAAATTCTAGCACCGAAAGGCAATGGAAGATCACACAGCTAGACTATACAGCTGTCGCTGTCGCTGTTGTTGTATTTATTAAAAGAAGAATTACAGAATAATTACCCTAAATATCGTCATTTTCAGAAAGAAAGTCACACAGTTGGTTTCATAGAAGAGATATGAATCAAGAAAAATTTCCTACAAATGGTAGAAATGCACATGGATGCAGTATCAAATACATTTTTTTGTATGGAATACTGTAGAGCTCAGTATTTTGTACAAAATTAGCCTTTTAGGGTAAAATTTATAAAATTTTAACCTAACGTGGAGACTTTTCAATGTTTTGAACATGTGATCGCCTATGAAGGATGGAAATCAACCGAAAGCATTGCAATATGACAGGCTCATAAATTAAGATAAAAAAATATTGATCAGCTAACCCATGATATCTAATGATGTCCAATGAAAATGAATTACGACATCTCAAATTTATCATCATGAGTAGCCTAATACCATTGTAGTCACTAGTCACCTATGAAAAGCTGATGCTCTATTAAATATAATTAATTACTTTGATAATCAACCTTCATATAATTAATAATTTATTATACTGAATTAGTACGGGCGGATTAATTATTCAAATAGTGTTTAGTTATTGGGATTATGATATGACTAAAAATTTGTATATGGTGTTTACTGATTTTTAGCGCATTTTCTCATTTATGGAAAAAATGCACTATTGCGCTCGCCATGTCCGTCTGTCTGTCCGTCCGTCTGTCCGTCCGTCTGTCCGTCCGTCTGTCCGTCTGTCTGCCCGTCTGTCTGTCCGTCCGTGACTTCACGTTTTCGTCGACGAGAAAATGCGCTCTCTGTCACTCACTGCAGTGAGTGCTGAGTTATATTTTTTTCACCTTTAATTTATTTAGGACAGCGATCAATTTGAAATAATTTTAATTGACAAAATTCTGCAGGTCCATTCATATTCATGATTGTGGATAAACGTAGATAAATTTGTTCCATTTAATTTGAAGTCCCTTGAAGTTTCAAAAAGGAATAAATCTTTCTCTTTTATTCGTCTTAATTGCCACTAAATGTAAATATTTTGGTTCGACGCACTATACAAGTAATAGCGGTGTCAACGTCGATCATCGCTATTGCTATTATAGTGCGATAATATAGAAATGTTTGTTTAAAAAGAGACCAGTTAATATCAATTAATGTATTAAAAAATATAACTCAGTACTCACTGCAGTGAGTGACAGAGAGCGCATTTTGTCGTCGACAAAAACGCGAAGTCACGGACGCCGGACGGACAGACAGACGGACGGGCAGACGGACATGGCGAGCACAATAGTGTATTTTTTCATAAATGAGAAAATGCGCTAAAAATATCGATACCAGTTTAAAGCTATACATGCTATATGGAACTTAGAACACCCACTTGCTTGTCGTTCAAAAATAGGAAAATGAAGATTTTAAATTCAATCAATAAATTCTGATTTAAAAATCAAATTCCAGTCCTCTCATAGTTTTTACATTACACCATATTCTGTCATGAATCAATTTTTACTGCGAGGAAATATTCCGGCATATGGTGAATAAGCGAATAAGCGTTTATTTAGCCCCTATATATTTGTGGCGCCGAGCTTACAACGCGAACGCACTGCTGATACACTAATTAATCTAATCTTCTTTATACTAAAGATATTTAAAACATTTATGTCCCGGCGACTTCAATATCACAAAGAGATAGTCGATCATAGATATATGGATAAGCCCGGTCTACGCATTCCAGATGCGTTGATTGACGTAGGTTTGAATTAACCCTGTTTTCCCATCAGGTAGGATGTTTCATTATTTGGGTCCCGAAAGACCCCCCTCTCCCTATCACCTCCCCCCACAGGTGGAGGCAGCGCCACAACTCAAGAATTGGGTGCTACCGTTCACCGGCCACCGTCGCTCTCGGAGGCGTCGCCGCGCGGCCTGCCGCAGCAACAAATTTCGAATGTAAAATCGATGGTGAAGACGAAATTTTGGGACCAGACTGTCCGGTATCGTGGATACGCAATGGGACAAACCCCTATAAATGGCATGTCGAAACAGCAGATAACTTTATGGCCAATGTGAGGTACTATACATCGGACAAAAAACAATCGTCCTTTTGGGGAAAAGAATGTTCCACATATTACCTCACGTAGGCCAAATGTCGCAGCTTGGATTGACGGTGTTCCAATGATCATAGCCTCCACAGCAGGTAGGAAGTTTTATTCATTGGATCCCGAAGGACCCCCCCCCCCACAGGAGGCAGGATGTTTAATTTTTGGGTCCCGAAGGACCTCCTTCCCCCAAGAGCAAAGCAGTAGCCAGGTGAAGGCAGCGCCCCAACTCCTCAAGAATTGGGTGCTACCATTCACCGGCCACCGTCGCTCTCGCCGCGTGGCCTGCAACAGCCACAAAAGAGTCGCCGCAAGAATGCGGTGAATCTCTTCCCCCTTTTGGGGGGCGGCGCCTCGCTTCGGCTCAGCTCTGGTGACTCACCCCGGACCATCGAGAACAGATCCCAGCTACTGGGGTCACCAGAGCCTCGCCAGTCCGACATGCCTTAGACCGACACGGAAGAGCATTCCATGAGCCTTCGGAGACCAGCCATGTTGTTAAAGATTTTTATTTCAATCGAAATTTCAAAGAAAATCGATGATGAAGACGAATTTTGAGACCAGACTTTATATAGTCCGGTATTGTGGATACGACATTGGACAAACCTCTATATATGGCTTCTCGAGACAGCAGACAACTTTATGGCCAATGTGAGGTCCATCAGGTAACGAATCTTCATCGTTTCCGCTTAAAGTATCACAATATATTTAATTTTCAAACTAAAGCCGATTGAATTGAAGGCACGCTAATTAGAATTGTTTCTCACTCAATAATCAATAAATTGGTGCAAAAATTGTCTGCTGGCTTGATCGGAGGGTGTATTGCCCGTGGTTGAAGTTCAATGGTTCAACAATAGTATTGCCCGCGTATCAGCGATACACAACACTAATATACATGTATATGGCCACCACACACACACGACCAGCCATACTTGCTGCTGTAGCTCAACTCAACCTATTTGTTCCAACTCTACTTGTAATTAAATAATATACGTTTAAAAATTACTTTTTAAAGACAACACTTCTAAAGAATCCAGTGTTTCCAGTGTTACTGTTACACATGTACAATAAATTTCTAATTTTATTTTCAAATAATAAAAAATTAATTTTTAAATTTTATTTAATATATAAAATTTTTTTCGAAATTATTTATTCTGTCAATTGATTCATGCATTGCCTCCGACTTCACACAAGTATGCAAAATTTCAGATCAATTGGGCAGGTAAAAGTGTGCCAAATAACAATTATAAGATTTGTAGCTGACAAAATTATTTTTTCAATTTCTTAATATCGACAAAAGAAAATTTTTACTTTTTAAAATTATTCGTTTGCTAATTGATTCATGCATTGTCTACAACTTTACGCAAGTGTGCAAAATTTCAGATCGATAGGATAAGTAGAAGTGTGTTAAATTTCGATTATAAGATTTGTGGCAGCCAAACAAACAACAAGAAGTGAAATTAAAGAGAAGTGTTGTGAAAACTTGGTTCACAGCGAATCATCGGTCGCTTCACGATTTTTCTGGCGCAAATGTCACATAACTTGCGTCAATAAAGGAATAAAGAGCTTGTCTCCACTCAAACCACTGTACCTCACCTAGAGGATTGAAATAAAAAAGGAAAATCCGCAAACAAGTAAGTGCAATAGAACATGCGCATACGCAGTTTTACGCTTCTTACAATAATTGGTAAAACAAGAGCAATGTTCCTCTGTAATAATTTACTCGACAAGATATGATATAACCCTTTTTACCCTATCACGTTGACGTCCATGCATTCTTTATGTGTGCTACTTGAACACACGTCTGTTTCTTCTTTTGTTCATTACTAGCATTGACAGCCTGTCAGTAGCCATGACAGAAATAAAAAAAATATGAATTAAATCTAACATAATATTCCATGTCATTACCTGAAATAATGAACATTATTTTAATTTCAAATCCAACGAGAAGTAGCAAAAGACGTTAAAGGAAACAATGCGTGACGATCAAATAAATCATTGATCGAACGAGGAAGAGAACCTTATAATCCCGGTATTTTATTTGAAACCTTGGTGAAAAAAATTGCGTTCTCTGATGATCATATGTCACAATTTCAATGCAAATAAAGCCAATTGCGGGAAGACCACAAACTATAAATCATATCTCTGCTCCCAACTCAAACAGTAAATTCTCTCACCAGCAATAGTTCTTCATCATCTATGCTTCCAACCGCTTTGCAAGTAATGAACAGTTGTTATAGAGGTATCAGCGTTTAGGCTTGTCGCCTAGTCTGAACATCGCAGAAATTTCACAGCCTGTTGCGTGAAATTTGATTTTGCGTGCATGGGATGATGATTAGTAGGAACGATGTCCGTAGATCAATGCCTGTAAATAATGTAGGAAGTAACCGCATACATCAAAGTGAAAGTGCACAAAAAGTTTTAACTGTTTTTACACGAACTCGGATTCCGTTTTGAACAAAAAAAGTGAACTGTTAACTGTGATCGCAAACGAGTGTATAGATATTACTAGTATTACAGAAATACTCACTAAAAATCACGGGGGGAAATTGTACCTGTTGAATTTCAGCGGCCAGGTTTTGATTGTTTTCATAACTTCAACGAAGATCAGTGCAGTAGAGGTGTAGCTCTGTGGGTTAGAACCTCTTATGGGGCCCAGCAAGTTAAGTTTTCTGCTGAGCATCAATCAGCTCGAGAATCAGTGTGGTGCGAACTTATTCTAAAAGGCAAAGATATCCTCCTCATAGGGGTCATTTACAGATCACCTAACAGCTCCTCTGATAACAATAAAGTACTAAACAGCCTTTTACCGAGCATGTCATTCAGCAGGTCGCATACGCTGATCGTTGGCTCACTTTAACCATCCAGAAATAGACTGGGCAGATGAATCTTCTCCAAGAGATGGGAATCACCCAGCATCCCTGTTCTTGGAGTCTGTGTGAGAC